TTATTATTATTATTATTATTATTCTTGGGAACTAGTACTAGTAGGAAATATAGCTAAATCAACTTCTTCAAGAAGAATCTCAACCCACAAAGGGGAGATTTTTCACTAGTGAGACCTTTTTTGTTGTTCAGTCGCACAGTCGAGTCCGACTCTTTGCGACCCCATGGACCAGGTCACGCCAGGCCTTCCTGTCTTCCGACCATCCTCTGAAGTGACCTAGAATGAACCAAACAAGGTGTTACTTTTTACAAGTTTTCCATGGGGACTTGTAAAAAGTAACGCCTTGTTTGGGTCATTCTAGTCCATGGGGACTTACAGCCACACGGCAGCTACAAGTCCCAGTGGCAACTCCTGTGCAGAAAATGCAGAGGGGCCCAATTCTGATCAGGTCTGGGGCGTGGGGGAGAAGGGGCTCTTGCCTTCCCCCCCCCCGCACCATTTTTCAGCAGATAAGATGACTGGGGGCTGTGTGGGGGCCTTATTCACTGTGTTGCAGCCTACCAATGGAATGAATAGTGCTCCCATGCCATTTTGGCTCCTGAAAAAGGGCACAGTTGGAGGGGGAGGCAGGAGCAGGATGATATAACAGTACTTAATGAAAAATCTTACCCCACTCACCTGTAAAGCTATTTTCTTTAAAAAAAATGGGGGGTGCATTTTTCATATGTGTATGTGTACACACACACATCTGGAAGTCATGGCCACCTCTGGTGACTGACTCCTACTGGGGACCTGGAGGGTATTCAGAGGGGTGGCTGAAGAAAGCCTGCCCCCCCCCTCCTGCCTCTGGTATTCCAAGGAGGTCTCCCATCCAAGTACTTGCCAAAGTCAACCCTGCTTAGCTTCTGAGATCTGATGAGACCAGGCTTGCCTGGGCTGTCCAGGTCAGGGCACCTGTAAAGCTATTTTCTTTGACTCATTCTCATCTCCAACTGACATCTTTCATCTGTCACGACTCAAGAGTCAGTTCTTAACTGATCCTCTGCTCCCCAGAACAGAGGTACCACTGGATTTTGGAGCTCTGCTCTTATTGGCTGCTGAGTTGTTGGATGGTTTTTATTCCTCTATCCACTGTGCCACAGGACGGCATGGGAAGCCCTGCCCTCATTTGTCCTCAGTCAAATCTGATTAGCTATGTTGTGTCACGATACTGATCCATTCACAGCATAATGGCCAATTGGCTGAGAATGCCCATGTAAAAGATGAAGTAAGGTAGTGTCAATGAATGTTCTCATCATTAAGGATTTCTGTGGGAAATATTTCTTCCCTCCATCTGCCTTCAACCATAAAAATATCAAAATGGAGAAAATTTGAGCTTAGTACCGGTATGTCTGAAACTGAAGTGATTCTCATGAACATAATGAAATATTGATAATACAGTAAGGAGATTCAGGTCTCTGTCCCTCACTTCGTCACATAACTTTTAAGAACAGGAATATATGATGCTGTTTTCCCCAGGATATTTAGTCATGTCACATATCTTACCTTACATTCATCTTGTTTCCGTTTCCTATTATACAAATATACAGACTCTGAGTGGTGGACACATGAATGAATGTCTAAAGAAATGGCATTTTTTTGTACTCAGTAAGCAGTTACGAACTCTTTTGCTTGCTATTCAGATGGAATCCTCCCTCAAATCTTACATGAAGTGGAATTGCCAATCTTAGACCAAGACGAATGTTCTAGAGCACTTTCTACTTTAAAGAAACCTGTCCGAGGCGACACTTTAATGTGTGCTGGGTTTCCAAATGGAGGAAAAGATGCATGCCAGGTTGGTAAAACGAATATCTCTGAAAATGAGCTATTTTTAAGTGTTGCTTTAGCTCAATATTTGTGACTTTAAAAAACAAACACAAAAAAACAAGTAGGTATATTCTTCAGTGCATTACAAAGTGTTGGTAGCCTGTTACAGAAAATAATAAAATGCCACAGGACTCTGTAATTTTTGTTTTGAAGCACTGGCTCTCATGTGTTGACAGCTCTTGTGGCTGATACCATGGTGTATGGCAGCAGTGTTCTGTCTTTTTGTTCCAGTATGTTGCATGAGCAGCAGTTGCACATCTGCCATAAAGCTCCTTATGTCTGTAAAAGAAGCTAGGGAATGTTCGAAAGTGTCCCATCCCTATTCTGAGATCATCATCTGTGTCTATCATAGCAAACTTGCTGGGCTGTGTAGGGCAATCATGCTAAACCACTTATCAGGACCATACAGACTTGGTTCCTGTCTTTGGTGGTGGTGGTGGGGGGGACCAATCAGGTAAAATTCATTTTTTTCACTGGGTCCATGAGGCACAAAAATGGTTTCCCCCTCAAAGGTAAATAAAACATACAGCTTTTATTCAGGCCACCAGGGCTATTTTTGGGCAGGAACGCACAGGAATGAAGTTCCGGCTGGCTCCCAAGTTGACCACGCCCAGCAGGAACTCATTAGCATAATAGGCCACACCCAACAGCAGAAAATCATTAGGATTGGCTACATTAGTGGTGTGTGGCCTAACATGCAAAGGAGTTCCTGCTACAAAAAAAGGCCCTGGGTTTTGACAACAAACAAGGTAAACAGAATAACAAGCAAAAGGTGGGTGTGGCTGGATAACCACACTTCTGGTAACATGTGGGTGCGGCCTAATGTGCTAATGAGCTGTGCTGTCAAGGGTGTGGCCCAATATGCTAATGAGTTCCTGCTGTTGGGTGTGGCCGATTATGCTAATGAGTTCCTGCTGGGCTTTTTCTACAAAAAGAGCCCTGCAGGCCACTGAAATGATATGCAGGTTCTCAGCATTCCAGCCTACAACTCAGATAGTTGAAAGGGAAGGAAATGGGGACATGCCAACAAGTTGTATTGAGCAGTAATGTAGTGGAATGCACAGAGAAATAAAGGTGAAAAGGGTTACTCCAATCCCCAGCATTGTGAAACCAGGAAGAAGTACTGTGCACCTCACATCCCCCTATCAGTAGGACCTCCTTTGAACTATCTGAAGCTTCAGAAGATAGGTTCTACACATGGTTTTTGGTCATCTCTATGTATCTCTTCTGATGGGAGCCCATTGCAAAGTGGAGCAGGCTGCAGAGGCCATAGCAGCCTGCTGATCAGAGACGTCCCTTTCCTCCCTACCCTCCACAATATTTTGTTTTTCAGTTTCAGCTTCTACAGTCTCAGGGGTCGTTTCGTAGAAAAAGAGCTAGGGGAACTCATTAGCGTAACTCATTAGCATATGCCACACCCCCTGACATCACCGGAAGTGTGTCATAAGGCCACACACCTCGCCCCCAACGGTCCCGGCCGCCGCCGCCGGCCTTGCAGCTCCACTGCCGAGCCCCATGAGGGGCCCAGCGGTGGACCTGCAAGGCCGGCGGGAGTGCAAGGAAGCCCCGTAAAGGCCCTCCCTGGCCCCAGGCAGGCAGGGGTGGGGAGAGGCAGGGAGGAAGCAACTTACCCTCCCTCTTCTCCTGCCTCCTCCTGGCTGAATGAGGGCCGGAAGCGGGGTGGCTGGAAGCAGGGGGCGGGGCTTCGTCATGTGCCCCGCCCCCCGTACTGCGATCCCCCGCGATCCCCCCCGAAATAACCTCTGTACAGTCTTATTCACCAATGGAGACCAAGAAGCAGATCCAAACTGATTAGAAATGACATGATGTACTTCTGAGGGAATTTTTTGTGTAAATGTTTGTACATGCTGTTTTAAATGTATCTCATTTTAAAATACATTTTTCTTTCCCCTGCAGGGTGACTCTGGAGGCCCTCTTGTGTGTCTGAATGAACATGGCTCCTGGACCCTGGTTGGGGTGACCTCATGGGGGATGGGATGTGCTCGTGGCTGGATGTATAACCTGAGAAAAAAGTACAATAGAAGAGGATCTCCAGGAGTTTTTACAGATCTTATCAAGCTTCTCCCCTGGATTCAACAATATATGGCCACTGGTAAGTAACAAGATGATAGAAGTATAACTGTTATGGCAGTTTTAGTATCTTGATGTCTCATTCATTAGAACAGGTCCATGTAGTTTAGCATGGTCAACCAGATGCCTACAAATAGCCTGCAAAACAGGGAAGGAAGGCAGTCGTAGGAAAAACAAATAGCCAGCTAGCCCATTTTTTTTGGCAAAAAGTAAATATAAGTTTTGAAGAAAAGTAATTTTGAAGAAAAGTAAATATACGTTTATTTTGTACTAGCCTGATACCTGTGCTTTGCTATGGTACTTAAGTCCAGTAATTCCAGTTATAATACTGACTATCTGAAGTTTGAAAGGTAACATTTGTTGTAGGAATTCTAATGGAGAAGATTGTAGTGTAAAGAGCGAGGTGAGACATGTGCTTCCCCCCCCCACACCACCGAAGGACCTCTCTGTAGACCACATCGGTGGTTCTGCCCTCAGGTGCTAGGATCACCAGGCTGCTTGGTGAGCTTACTCTGGAGCAGGATCCTTGAAAGGTCCTTTACTGTCTCCCCATGAACATTCATAAACTCAATTGCCATGCTGGCTATTATGAGAAATGTCTATTCAGAAGTCTTGAATTGCTGATTTCTGTAACTGTCTTCAACTGTCTGCAGTCTCTTTTAACTGTGTTTTTACCTCCGAACATTGAGATCCACAGCTGAGCAATCAGAGGGAGGTGGGTGCAAGTAGGCAGGTTTTACCTCAGAACTCTGAGCTACACAATTAACCAAGGGGGGGGGGAGGCAGCAGCCTGCCAGGCATGTGGAAAACAATTAGGAGAACACATTTTGCCCCTTTTTTTACCTCCTTAGGGGCTCATGTTTCTCAGAAATCTCTTTGTAGTGGGGATTGACGTCATGGTAGGAAGGCACTCCCCTTATTTTGGGTTTCTTGGCACAGGGGTTTGGCCTGGGCATTGGTTTGGGTGGGGTGCAGGGCATACTTTTTCTTTCTTTCTTTCTTTTTTTACGGAAATGCTTCTCATTTGTGTTACATTTAAGAAGAGGGACATAACTACAAATTTAAAACAACATCCGAGCAATCCTACACCTGACAAACACCCACCTGTCTAGTGTAAGGGGGGAGGATTGTGTTTAAAGGCATCAGGGAGGCTGAGCCAGCAGCAGCACTAAGGAAAACCTGCTAAGCAAGCCTCCCCTGTGGCTTTAAGGACTCTGTGTCCCTTCCAATCCTTGACAGGCAGTTGTCTGTCAGGTGTATGAGGGGTAGTGTGTCTGAAGGCATCTGGGAAGCTGGGCCAGCAGGATTGCTAAGGAGATGCTGGTTGGGCAGCCTCCCCGATGGATTTCAATGCTCTGCCCCTGCACCTGACAGACAACTGCTTGTCAGGTCGAGGAGGGGTGTGTGGGAGTGTGTCTAAAGCCATTGGGGAGGGTGGCCCAGCAGTATTGCTAAGGTGTTTCTGCTCGGGCAGCCTCCCTGGTGGGTGTTTGGGGGGAGTGTGTTTAAAGGCATCGATGAGGCTGTGCCGGCAGCAGTGCTAAGGCGATCCTGCTGAGCAAGCCTTCCTGACGGCTGTAAGCATCCCACCCCCTCTCCTACAACTGACAGGCATTGTGGAGGCTGGCTGGCTCCCTGATGGCTTTAAGCACCCTGCAACCACTGCTGCACCTGACAGACAACCGCCTGACAGGTGTAGGAGGGGGAGCGTGTTTGAAGCCATGGGGACGCTGGGCCAGCAGCTTTGCTGAACCTCACAGGTGGTTGGCCACTCCTGATTTCCTCAATTGTCATTAGCTCTCTGCAGTCTCCAGTAACTGGTTGTTGTTTTTTACCTCAGCTCTGCAGCTGACCAATCAGAGAGTGGGGGGTGCAGCGAGGCAGCAACCTGGCAGCCACATAGGAAGCAATGGAGGAGCACATTTTATCCCTTTTGACCCCCTTAGGGGTTGAATTTCTAAAAATCGCTTCTTTTTAAAAAAAATTATTTATTTATAAGTTTTTGGATTGTGTACATTACAACCAAAGTAGTTTCCAACATATTGTGAGTCTATTAACACATTTTGTTAACCTGATGATTAGTGGTGTGTAGCAGCACGGTAGTTGCAGATTTTGCTTTGTTTGTAGGATCACACTGATACACATGATAATTGGCTTGATTTCAACAGGTTCACAGAAATGAAAATGTTCTGCTTAGAATGATTTCAGTGCACTTGTTAATGATATCCATATTATCATATGGACAATTCCAAAGACAACCATTTATAATTTGTTTAAAGTACATCATTACAGTTCTGATTTGCCATAGCTCTAAAATATTTTTGTTTTTCAACTAGATGTCAGAATGAAAAGTTCTACAGGTAAGTAGACAGTCTCTTTTCTTTGAACCAGGAATTTGTTTTTTTAAAAAAAAATTATTTCATAAGTAAGACATACAAAGACAAAGACAAACATACATAAATACAGGTTAGGGGAATTCATTTGTATCATTATTTACCTAATTATTGCCCTCATAGTATGTCCAAAACATTCATTTCTTTTATCCACCTTATAATTTTCATATATACCTTTTGCATATAATTAAGCATATATTTCTTATTTCCTTTTATTTCGATTATATGTCTGGAAATTTTATATGTTATACTCTTCTGTCCGTTTGTAAAATCTTGACCATGTGTCCTCAGAATTTTCTTTGTTGTGTCCTCTCAAAACCGAAGTTAAATTGTCCATCTCTGCTGTTTCCAGTATTTTATTTATAACTTCTTCCTTTGTAGGGACTTAATTTCTTCCCCAATATTTAGCATATAATATTCTTGCGGCTGTCACTATGTGTATGGTCAGATAAAAGTCATGGTTTTTTTTGTATTTCTCTGGTGTCATATTCAATAAAAACAGTTCTGGTGTATAAGGTACAGTAGCTTTTAACACTGTGTAACAGTTCAGGTATCCAATACTTTTTAACTTTATCTACCACATATGAAAAAATGAACCTGAACCAGGAATTTGTCGATAAAGTCCAAAATGATTTAATTTATACTAGGAATGTATGGACTCTGGCCTAGGGTCCAAAGAGCTGAACAACGAGTTCTGCATGCCCAAGGGAGCTTTGGGCTTGTGTTTCTTGACCAGTATATTGCCATGCCAGGTGTCAAATCAGGGGTCTCCAGCAGGTGGCGCTTGAGCTACTAATAACTCTCCAGCTGCTGCAGAATAATTTATGCATACCTTAGAAGACCCAAGAAAAAACTGTGAAAAGATCTGCTCTCAGCCTTTTTTTTTTAAAGCTTTTATTCCACAGGATTTTCTTCTGTGCTCTTTTTAGCTAATAGCTTTTGTTCTGGTGATCTTCTGAGTCCATGTTCTGTCTGTAGAACAGAGCAAAATTTGGTAACATGCCAGATGGGTAGAACTTGGGATATTTTCCATTACTCAGAAGTAGCTTTCACTAAAGAAAAAGGCTGGCAACCCCTGTATCAACTCATGTTTGAATGGGAGGGGACTTCCAAAAGCAATATGGCACGGGATCTGGCAGTCGGGGGGGGGGGGGGGAAAAATACCACGTCCACTGTACATGCCCAAACCTGGCCATAGTGTTGCTAACATTTCATTTTGTAGTACAATTAAGGACACTTGGATTAGAATTTTTATTTTAAACTTCTAAATGTAAATGGATTAGATCACCTTAGTTTCTGTGTGTTGAACCAAAGTTGCTTTTCTACACATGGAAGATTAACTTCTGATCTTGAAACAGCTGCTTTTCATCTTGTGCTAGAATGTTAAGTAGGAAAAGTGAAACTATCCAAAGATGCCCTTCTGCTGGTACATCTGGGGGAAGAAGCTTTTTCATCAGAGCAAGGGTCTTCAGGCTGGAGGGAGAACTCAACCTTTGCCAAGCAGAATGATGGAATCCAAGCCAATATATCGCTGCGCTATGCTGATGTAGATGTTCAGTTGTTTCCAGAATGGCTTTGGGATTATGCCCTATCCATCCCATCCCGAAGCAGTCAGTGGATTTAGTATAACTGTCTTTAGGACAGCATTGTAAATCACTCATTTGTTTCCCACAGATTAGGCAAAAATGATTTTTAAGAGGTGCAAGATGTAGTTGTTTTATAGAGTTTTGACAGGGTTTTTTTTTTTTAGGTCTTTCTCCAGGCCAAAATAAAATGGGAAAAGTTACTGAATATTAAGGCTAGGGATTTTTTCCTTCTCTGATTCCAGACAAATAGGCCTAGCTCAAATGTGGTTTTATTTTGGTTTGCCATTTCAAAGTCCTTTTAATAGAGGCTCAATGTGGGGAAATGAGCAGCTGATACTTTTCATGGCATGAAGGTAAATAGCATCACTTGGTAAATGACATCCCACTATGCTTCTATTAGGAGGACAAGACATTTTTTTTTCTCCAGGCAGCTGACAACCCTCTTTTCTCTGAAATGTAGAAATGCATCATTTTCCTTAAATTATACATTAATCTGATCTAGCTGTTATCTGATTAACATGATAGCAAGATTAGCATGATATTGATTTAACGTCATGACACAGATAAGTTTTTTGGGGGGAATCACTGTAATCTCCTAGCTTTCCTTTATATCTGAATATATGCTAACCCAATATTTGTTTAATCCTGATGTTCCATAACACAAACTTCCATAATTACAATGCAGCATCATGCAGTATTCAGGATGGTAGGCTCCTTGGCAACGAAGGAGGACTACACCTGCCTGAAAGCCCCAGACGTTTCTATCCGGATAATCAGTGAGTAGATGAAATGCAAGGACTTTTAAAGATGCTACATACAGTTGTTGTACATATTAGATTCCATGTCAAAAATGAAGTCAAATGAGGAGGAAGATCTATATTTTATTTCAATTAACAGAAAAACAATTGGACCAAATAGTCCATTAAAAATTGACTACTTTCTTCTCAGCATATTCAGGAAATATGCTTCAATTAACAGGAAAACAATTAGACCAAATAACTCATCAAAAATTGACAACTTTCTTCTTTTTTCTTCATCTTCTTCTTGAGCATATTCTGAACATATTCAGGAAATACATGCTATTTTATACATGGACTGACATCATCAAGAAAACAATATTCAAACAGCATAATTGGTTACAAAAGACAGTGGTAATTTGAGTAATAATCCTCTGATTGGCCAGATATAAAGAAACATATATCTACGTCAAACTAAGTGTTTACTTAACCTAACCTAAATGATAATGGGCAAGGAATCTTCATATCCCAAACAAAAGTATTCATTACTGATACCAGACTAAAATCTTATCTGACCCAGACATTGAAAGGTTTGCCCTAAGAACTACAGAATCATGAACTTTGTACCTATTATGTTGTCTGCTAACAATATCAGACCTACAAGAGGAAGGCCTTCTATATAACAGGCCTTTCTAACATCCTAATAAAATATTACTTAAAGAATAAATCTATAAAAACCAGAGAAATATGAATATGAACAATAAAAAAAACCCAACCTATATATAAAAATCTTTATATTCCCATTCATACTACAAGTATTATGCTACAGTGGTTCGTGATTTGCTAATCGTGAACTAGACATCACTCACTGTATGTCAATCCAGGTTGTGCGTCTGGACTCTGCTTGTACCAGAAGGAATGCATATTCTGCTGAACTTTTCCCACTTTGATGTGGAGCCAGATATATTTTGTGACTATGATTCCCTGTCAGTGATTTCTAAGGACGATCAGCTAGTCGGTGAGTTTCTTTTTTCAAAGTTTTGAACTCTGGGGAGGGGAATGAGCTGGGAGGATCTGGAGCAGAAAAGCAGCAGCTAGGGTAAAGGGTGAACTCCTTTGCTTTCTCTCTCCCCCTCCTGCTTCTTCTCCGCCACAGATTGCCCCTGAGAGATTGTCAGAATTGTCTTACATACTTCCATGTGTAATGCTTGCTCAGGTGCTGACCGGCGTCTCTTGATCTTGGGTCTGGCAGTATTTAAGGCCATCCTTAGGGAAGGGAGAGGTGGTGGCGGCTCAGCGGCAGCACATCTGTTTTGCACCTCCAGTTAAAAGGACCAGGCAGTAAAAGATGTGGGCAGAGGTTGATTCGGGGGGGATTGCGGGGGATCGCAGTTTTCCCGGGTGAGGTGCAGGGGGCGGGGCACACAACGAAGCCCCGCCCCCTGCTTCCGGCCGCCCCGCTTCTGGCCCTCATTTAGCCAGGAGAAGGCAGGAGAAGAGGGAGGGTAAGGTGCTTCCTCCCCGCCTCTCCCCACCCCTGCCTGCCTGGGGCCAGGGAGGGCCTTGGCGGAGCTTCCTCGCACTCCCGCCGGCCTTGTAGGTCTACCGCCGGGCCCCTGATGTCAGGGGGTGTGGCATATGCTAATGAGTTATGCTAATGAGTTCCCCTAGCTCTTTTTCTATGAAACGACCCCGGGATGTGGGAAAAACTTCAGTCTGAGAACCTGAAGGGGCTGCTGCCACTCAGAGTAGACAATTCTGACCTCGATAGACCAAGGGTCTGACTTGGTATAACGTGACTTCGTGTGTTCAGAGGTCTTCGGAGAGACTGTGGTTTATGTGTTTATAGGGATTAAAAACGTTAGATTTAATAGGGACTGGCAGGGCTATTTTTGGGTAGGAACGCACAGGAATGGAGTTCCGGCTGGCTCCCAAGTTGGCCATGCCCAGCAGGAACTCATTAGCATAATAGGCCACACCCAACAGCAGAAACTCATTAGGATTGGCTACATTAGGGGTGTGTGGCCTAACATGCAAAGGAGTTCCTGCTACAAAAACAGGCCCTGGGTTTTGACAACAAACAAGGTAAACAGAATAAGAAGCAAAAGGTGGGTGTGGCTGGATCACACTTCTGGTAACATGGGGGTGTGTCCTAATATGCTAATGAGCTGTGCTGTCATGGGTGTGGCCTAATATGCTAATGAGTTCCTGCTGTTGGGTGTGGCCTATTATGCTAATGAGTTCCTGCTGGGCTTTTTCTACAAAAAAAAGCCCTGGGGACTGGCATCCAAATTATGCTTTCCTATAAAGTTGCCATGTGGATAAATTAATCTGAAATATGGTTATTCTATCCCTATTCAGACATTACAATTTTGGTGATGCAGCCATGAGCAAGGGGAAATCATACTATACACAGCCCTCTCTATATGCTTGGTTGCTGTTTTGTATGAATAGGGCAACATGCATGTTTTCTAGCTTTAGTATGTGTGATTAGAAACCTGGATATGTTCATGTCTACAGAAGCTAGAAAATACTCGTGTTGGCTTGTCCTCGTGCCATAGCGGTGGTATGTGTTGGGCAGTTCGCAAACAGTGCATTCTCCAATTATGTGAGGTTGGACTGCAAAAATCATAATGACTGAACAGGGCTAAAATGGTCTGTGAAGGTCATGGCATAGACTTGGCCATTTACAGACTAATCATCAGATCCTCTCTCTCCAGGAAACAAATGTACAGTGTTTTTACAATGTAACCATCTGTATGTTAGAAGCAGGTTCTTTTGATATCCCTTCAAGTATGCCCTAGTAGTTAAATCAAGTGTGTATATGAATGCCTTTCAGGGAAATTCTGTGGAAGGAATCCTCCATTACCCATATTGATTGGCTCAAATAGTATAAGGCTTAAATTTGTATCAGATAATAAGGAACGTGGGACTGGATTTTCCATGAAATACCAGGCTGTTGCACCAGCTATGCTTCCAGGTAAGTATTAATACTTTCTCATAAATTGACAAATCAGAGGTATTCTAAAGGTTGTAGATTTGTGTAGAGCATGAGACATGGCAGGGGCATGAAGCCAAAGAGATTTCCCTAAAGAGAAATAACACAGACTATACTTATTTATTTACGTTATTTACGGTTCACCTTTCTCACTTGAACTCAAGGCAGATTACACAGGGCGAGTCCATACAACTGATGCGTGGGACCAGGGCTTTTCTTCTGGGGGAACGCACTGGAACGGAGTTCCAGAACCTCTTTGACAAAATTCTTTTTCAAATGTTTAAAAGTTCACGAGTTTTCAGTATATATATTGAAAACTTCATTTCCCACTTGAGAGTTCCGGCACTTCTTTAAAAAAAGAAGCAGCAGCCCTGGATGGGACATTCAGTAAACAGTGCAATAGGATTAAATGCAATAAACAATGCAATGGGATTAAATGCAATAAACAGTGCAATAGGATTAAATGCAATAAACAGTGCAATAGGATTAAATGCAATAAACAGTGCAATAGGATTAAATGCAATAAACAATGCAATGGGATTAAATGCAATAAACAGTGCAATGGGATTAAATGCAATAAACAATGCAATAGGATTAAATGCAATAAACAATGCAATGGGATTAAATGCAATAAACAGTGCAATAGGATTAAATGCAATAAACAGTGCAATAGGATTAAATGCAATAAACAGTGCAATAGGTTGTAGAACCAACCAGAAGTCTAAAAACAGAACTGAAGCAAAGCATAAGTATTAACACGACACACTACTAAACGATGCAAAATTCAACAGTAGGATCCTAGTTTCAGCTAGCTATACACAGTAGTGTAGACTACAGTCCATAATAGTTTTTCCAAGTAACTCTGTGAATCATTTAGTACAGTGCAACTCTGTTGCCTGCACAGAAACCCTTAAGGAAGGCCGTTCCACAAGGTGACCACAATGGAGGAGTAGGTATCCCAAGTCCCCCCGTGGCCCCGCCCCCAGCGTGCCTGGCGTCCTCCCGTCACTTCCGGGTGACGTGCGTGCGGTGCGCGCGCGCACAAGACGCCGGCTGGGAGCCCCCCGCTCCCGGTGAAGATACACTTGGTAACCCTATGGAGGAGGCACGTGTATGAGTAGTTGTTGCTTTCGCCCATTTTCAGGTTGGCACCTGCAGAAGGCCCTGTTCTAATGCATGAAGGTGTCACGTGGCAGAGCATAGGTGGAGAGATGGTCCACAGGTATAAGGGTCCAAGACCATGAAAGGCTTTGTACACTTATAAATTAGCTATTCCAGTTAATAATGGAGTAAAATCTTGTTGGTCTTTAAAATCGGTCCTCACTAGACAGACATTTATATATGTGATTATGAAATAAAAGTATAAATACCAGGTTTACAGGGCCATACAATACGAGTAATGCCACATCAGATGTGATTATGTAAAATCCGAATGGGATCAAGTAAAGTACAGAGACTGTTCATAATAGTAATAACTGGTCACAGTAATAATTGTACAAGCTGAGAATTCCCATGTCCACATTTACCAGTTTGATTTCATGCCATGCTTCTCTGACCATACCAAGCCCAAGAGAGGCGTGCCTGTGGCTGACTCCATGATTGGTGGCTTAGAAGATACAAGGACAAATGGAATTAAGGTCGGTGTACACAGGTTTTGGCGCTGGTTAAGAGCTGAGCAGCATAGACAATTATTATTGTAACCAGCCCATTACAGTCCTGTGAGAGATGTAATCCAGTGTGGTGTAGAAATTAGAGTGTTAAACTAGGACCGAGGCATCCCAGCTTCAAATCCCCAATCTTCCATGAAGCTTGCTGGGTGACCTTGGGCCACTCTTACATTCTTCCTAGCCTACTTCAGAGGGTTGTTGTGAGGACAAAATGGGAAGGAAAACAATGCAGAACACCCTGCACTCCTCAGGATGGGCACAAAAAATGTATTATATAGATTTGGAGACCTCATGCAGGCCCTGGTTACATCTATATTAGATTATTGCAGTGTGGTCTTTATGGTGCGGCCCTTGAAAAGTTTTCGGAAACTGGTGCAGAACCTTGCAGCCAGGATGTTGACTGTAGTGGGTTGTATGGAACACTCCAGTCTTGACCTATTTACACTGGCTCTCAGTCTGTTTCTGGGCACAATTCAAAATGCTGGTGACCTTTAAAGCCCTATATGGTTTAGGACCAACATACCTGAAGTAACCGCTGCTCCCTCATCACCCAACATGACCACTACAGTGCCCCTGCCTTTTGAGATTGGGTGGGTGGAAAACCACCTAATGCAAGCAAAGTGGTGCTCAAAATCTTACAACAAAGAGAAATGCCAGATGTTCAAGCCGGATTCAGAAAAAGAAAAGGAACTAGAGATCATGTTGCAGATTTACGTTGGTTGCTAGAGCATATAAGAGAATTTCAAAAGAAAATCAGTTTGTGTTTCATAGATTACCGGAAAGCTTTTTACTGTGTGGATCACAAAACACTATGGTTGGTTTTAAAAGAAATGGGTGTACCACAACATCTGATTGTTTTGATGTACAACCTGTACTCTTGACAAGAGGCTAGTGTCAGGACAGGACGTGGAGAAACAGAATGGTTTCTAATTGGCAAAAGTGTCAGACAAGAATGTATTTTGTCTCCCTATTTCTTCTATCCATATGCAAAACATATCATAAGGAAAACTGGGTTAGATTTAAATTAAAGTGGAGTGAAACTTGGAAGGAACATTAACAATCTGAGATATGCAGAAAATCGTAAAGACCTGAAATGACTACTGATGAAGGTTAAAGCAGAAAGTGCCAGAAAGCTGGTTTACAGCTGGACACCAAGAAGACAAAGTAACGACAAACTTTAAGTCTGGAGATGAAGAAACTGAAATTGTTAAATATTTTTGATTTCTTGTTTCAATCATCAACCAAAGGGGTGATTGCAAGCAAGAAATCAGAAAAGGATTGAGACTGGGAATGGCAGCTATTAAAGAAATAGAAAAGATCCTTAAGGATGTGTTGCTGGCAAACAAGATCAAGATAATTCATACTAGAGTATTCCCCATTACTGTATATGGGTGTGAAACCTGGACAATGAAGAGAGCTGACAGGAGGACAATTCATTTGTAATGGGGTATTGGGTGAGACTTTTATGGATACCATGGACAACCCAAAAGACAAATAAGTGGGTTTTAGATCGAATAAAGCCTAGACTCTCCCTACAAGCTAAACTGACTAAACTGAGCTTATAGTATTTAGTCACAGAGGTCGATTTGGGGGGATTGTGGGGGATCGCCATTCCCCCGGGTGAGGTGCGGGGGTGGGGCACAAGATGAAGCCCCGCCCCCTGCTTCCGGCCGCCCCGCTTCCAGCCCTCATTCAGCCAGGAGGAGGCAAGAGAAGAGGGAGGGTAAGTTGCTTCCTCCCCGCCTCTCCTCACCCCTGCCTGCCTGGGGCCAGGGAGGGCCTTGGCGGGGCTTCCTCGCACTCCCGCTGGCCTTGCAGGACCACCGCTGGGCCTTATGATGTCGGGGGTGTGGCATATGCTAATGAGTTATGCTAATGAGTTCCCCTAGCTCTTTTTCTACGAAACAACCCCTGTTTAGTCATATTAAGAGAAGTTACTGGAAAAGAGAATAATGCTAGGAAAAGTTGAAGGCAGCAGGAAAGGGGAAGACCCAACATGACTCAGTTAAGGAAGCCACAATCCTCAGTTGCCAAGACTTAAGCAAGGTTGTTAATGATAGGACAATTTGGAGGTAATTAATTCTTAAAAAGGTAAAGGTAAAGGTTTCCCTTGCTCGAAAGCCAGTCGAGTCTGACTCTAGGGTTGCGGTGCTCATCTCCGTTTCAAAGCCGAAGAGCCAGCGCGGTCCAAAGACGTTTCCGTGGTCATGTGGTCGGCATGACTAAACACCAAGGCGCACGGCACGCTGTTACCTTCCCACTGAAGTGGTACCTATTTATCTACTTGCAATTTCTTGCTTTCAAACTGCTAGGTTGGCAGGAGCTGGAACTAGAGACGGGAGCTCACTCCGTCATGCGGCACACTTGGGTCTCGAACTGCTGAACTACCGACCTTCCACAGCCTGCAGTTCAGCGTCTTAACCACTTGAGCCACCGCAGCTCCTAATTCATAGGGTTGCCATAAGTCAGAAGTGACTTGATGGCACTTAACACACATGCACACCACCCCGGAGAAGGCCTTCTTGCTCATAGTACCAAAACTCTGGAACTCTCTCCTTAGGGAGAGTCACCTGTCCGCTTCTATTGCCATTGTCCACTAGTAGGGGAAGACTTTATTTGGCGTTGCCTCAGTGATCCCTCCTACCTGCTCAATGTTTTGTTATTTTTTGTGTTTTTGTATGTCTTTTGGATATGGTTTTGTTTTATACATGTGTTTTTATTATGCATGTTTTAACCTGTTAGCCACTTTGGGGGCATTTATGAGGGCGAAAATCAGGGTATAAATTGTACTAAATAAACAAATATGCAGTGCAAGAATCCAGGCTAGATACAGCCAGCCAGCTGCCACTCAGATGGCTTCTCACATAAAATGTATTACGTTCATGCTTTGACTTACTGCTTCTCCCACTAGATGAAAGTATATATTTATTGGAAAATATTAGTAAGTCCATGAGAGCTTCTGAGCATTTGGAATTTGTGGATTTGCTATTTTAATTCACCTTGGTTTAATTTTGCTTCATTGGACTTCCAGATTCTGGCTGTGGATCGCTAGCTGTACTCTTTGAGGAAGGAACGATACAAAGCATGCACTACCCTGAGGCATACAGCAACTTGGCAGATTGTCAGTGGATAATTCATGCTCCAGAGAATTATGTGGTCAAGGTACAATGTGGAAAGCTTTTACCAACATCTGCAGAGTGGGGTTCCTTTGAACAACAACAACAACAAAAACTTTAGTTTGGTCCAAAATTTTGTATGCAACATAACGCTCCACTCATGAGGCAATTTTATTTTCAGGCTGCTTCATAACTGATAAACGAGTGATCTCTTCCATATTTGTTTAAATCCAGTGGTTGTGCACCTAAATCCTATCCATCTTCAGTCTCATTCATGATCTGCCTGCAGCATTTGGCTGTGACAGCTCTGTGGTGTTGGCCTAAATCTAAGTGCCGTGCGATGCCGCAGCATCTCTGTGCTGCTTTTCAAGGTTCCCCCCCGATTGCACGGGGAAAATAAAATAGGCACATAAATCTGTTTTTTCCTGAAAATCCAAAGTATTTGATTTGTGTTCCTGAATATGAATTCTGCACTTTGGAAAATAAAGAACAATCAGGGGTCATTTGGGGGGGGACGCGGGGGGACGCCATCCCCCCGGGTGAGGTGCGGGAGGGCGGGGCCTGGAGCTCCCTGCTGGTGCCCGCTGGAGGTCGCCACCGGCTGTGGGGAGGACACACTTCCGGTGATGTCAGGGGGTGTGGCATATGCTAATGAGTTATGCTAATGAGTCCCCCTAGCTCTTTTTCTACGAAATGACCCCTGAGAACAATACCTTTCTTGCAAAACACCTTTAACATTTTTGAAAGGTTTGGATAAAGATTGAAAATTTGACATTCAATCCATATTAGGGGTATTACTCCATTGCTAGGAAAAGTTGAAGGCAGCAGGGGAAGGGGAAGACCCGACATGAGATGATTTAACTCAATAAAAGAAGCCACAGCCTTCAGTTTGCACGGACTGAGCAAGGCTGTTAACGATAGCATGTTTTGAAAGTCATTACTTTGTTGGGTCACACACACACACCATTCAAGTCTTTCAGTACTTTTAGGTCTGAAACGGCTGCTGCTTCCAAAATAGGGGCATATATGTATCTCAGTGGTATTTTGTCATCAGTTTATCTTTCTATGCACAGTTGCCTCCTACATTAGAACCACAAGAACTGTACACAGTGCGCTCAATATTTCTTTAACGAAAACTGTAAAGTTATAAATATGAAATGTACAAAAGTGATAATAATACATTCAAATGTGTAAGTTCAGATACATAAAGATAGAAGATGACAACGACGGGACGGTGGTCTCCGGAATGCGATGCCGTTTCGACAAACGTCTTCTTCTAACCAAGAGTCTTTAAGCTGATGATGTATGAAAAATTGCACTTCAATGGAAAAGCTGCCCAATTCACATGGAGTTCAATAGTTTCACCTATTTCATTGCATGTAATGGAGAAGAACATCTCTCAAACAGAATAAAGCTTTCCATTGAAGAGCAATTTTTCATACATCATCAAATTATAGACTCTTGGTTAGAAGAAGACGTTTGTCGAAACGGCATCGTATTCCGGAGACCACCGTCCCGTCGTTGTCATCTTCTTACGTATCTGAACGTACACATTTGAATGTATTAATATCACTTTTGTACATTTCATATTTATAACTTTACGGTTTTCGTTAAAGAAATATTGAGCGCACTGTGTACAGTTCTTGTGGTTCTATTTTTGCATGTCTATGGACTTTGACCATATTTGTTTTTGTATGCCTCCTACATTAGAGCATTGGTTCCTTTAGCTCAGTATTGTCTATTCTTATGGCTCTCCCGGTGGAGAAGTGTATTTCCTGACAGTCGCTCTAGCTGAGATCAGATAGCAGGGACTGAAATGGCCACCTTTTGCATGTAAACCAGGTGCTCTGCCGTGGAGCTACATCTGCCTGCTTTCATTGGAAGACCTCCTTTAGAATCCCCCAATGAGTATAATGAAGTGTTAAATATTAATAACGATGAGAAATGTGCTTTCGTGTCTGCGTGTCTTATCAAATATCAAATTCCAGGATTTATATAACTTTTCTTGAATTGTAGGAATGTTTTATTTTATTGAATTGTAGGCTTTCTATTTTTTTAAAGCTCACATATGACAATTTTAAACTGGAAGAAAATAAAGACTGCACGTATGACTCAGTGACAGTGTATGAAAACATTGCAATGGAGAAAGAAATAGGTATGTGGTTTATATTTATAGCAGTCAGATCTGGTACATGTTGGTTTGTATTTACCCATTCAATTAAGGAAGCATAAGTTTTCGTAAGAGTGGGAGGCCATTTCTGCTGATTTCCCCTGTGTGCTGCATTTCACTGAAATTTTATTCTGGGAGTTAGTGGACCCTCAGGAACAGTGTAGTGTGGGTCTCCAGTGTAAAGGGAAATCAGTCAAAATTGCCATTCCCTTAACAAAATTTAAAAGCCCTTAATTTTTCTGAAACGCTCCCTTGATTTCTCTAGTCCTTCCTGTCACCGCAGGACCAGGGGGCGTGACGCAAGCAAGCAAAAGTACAGGAGCAGTCTGAGGTCAAGCTGAGCAAATCAGGCAGCAAGGTTCAAACAGGTTTAAATCTCAGTCCAAAAGCAGGGTCAGATGTACCAGAGTTTCAAGTCCATAAATCACAACGATACCAGAGGAGTCAGAGATGAACGCAGGGTCAACGAAGCCGAGGGTCAAAAGCCGAGGATCAAGCCGATAAGAATTCCACAAGGTCTGGAGCAGAGATACAAGGATTCAGGTCCTGACAAATGACGTTTGCCAGCACAAATGACTGCCGGCAACAGACTTGGAGATATACAGTGCTAGCTAATTAACTCATTAGCTAGCATGGAGCGAGGTCAAGATCCTGTCAATATTCAGGGCTAAGAGATCTTCTGGCACGCATGCGTGCGTTCTGTCTTCGCTCTCTCAGCTGCTGTCTCCGTACATTCCGGAGCCTGGTTACAGGTGGTGGTGAGTCTGATGACGAATTACTGGGATGCAGCAGAGACTGATCCCTTGCAGGTGTTCCCTGGGAGGCTCTATCCTCCTCACCACTTAGACAGATCCAGTCTTTGCCTATAAGTCTCTGCTGCAGTACTGTCCTCAGGAGCCTGTAAGTCCACAGGCTCCTGGCTGGCAGGTGCCTCCTCAGGGGCATCAGCAAGGGCAGGCATGACATCAGCAAGGGCAGGCATGACACTTCCCATTCCATCATTTTCCTCTATTACTTTGCATTGTTCATTTATTCATTCATTCATATAGGCCATTATTTTTAATTTCCTGTCAAGGAAGGCAGGGCCAGTAGTCGTTTGAAACAGCATCCCTGGAAAAATCTGAAAAGCAAAAAATTCTTTACTGATTTCAGAACACAGATACATTAATGAAGAAAAGATAGGGCTGCCAAGTGGGGGCGGGTAAACCCTCATTTTGGAGGCCCAATTTCCAACGCCGTGGAATCGGGCCCCGGGGGGGAACCCCACCCCTGCGTGCGCATCACCAGGAAGTGACGTGGGCACGCCGGGCACGCTGGGGGCGGGGCCATGGCCATACAAGGGAAAACTCTATGGTTTTCCCTTGTATGGCCATGGCCCCACCCCCAGCATGCCTGGCGTCCTCCCATCACTTCCGGGTGACGTGCGCGCACGCACAAGACGCCGACCAGGAGCCCCCCACTCCCGGCGAAGATACACTTGGCAACCCTAAGAAAAGAACATGTTATGATCTTTAAAAAAAATTGGTGACTTGGTTGTAGTGCTATTGAGGGTAATTTCAGTTAAATTACATAAAATGCATACACAGTTGTGATTGTGCCCGTTCAAATGAGAACTGCCTGTTCAATATGCAGAGTCTTCAAGAGATGTTGAAGAATGTGAATTTGTATGAAATGTGGTGTATATTGTCAAAATATATATATATATATAATCTCTGTCAGGTTGTTCACTCTCCCAGCTCGATCCTTCTGGATTCTTTCCTAATCTTTTAACTAAATTAACTGAGTTGGTATAGTGGCATACTGAGGAGTGAGCTACAAGGTTCCTGGTTCAATTCTTCCCTCAGCCATTAATGTATTTGGAGGCCTCATATGACCTATTTTTTCTTAAACTTCTGTTCTTCATCTTCAGTACAGGAATGATAAGACCAACTGACATTACAGATCTATTGTATAATAATAATAATTATTATTTATTTGGGGGGGGTGTGCCTGGAAGTCATGGCTGACTTCTGGTGACCCCTAGTGGGGCTTGGACATTTCAGAGAGGTGGCTTACTAAATCCTGCCTGTGTGTCCCAGACCTGGTATTGCGCGGTGCTAGCCCACTGCAGACCGAACACGGGTGCAAGGATATCCAATAAAGACTGGAGTCTTCAAGGCTTGTGTAAAAGTTATTTACAGTTTATTTTACAAAGCCTCCACCAAATAATTACACAGACTGACGTAATGCTCCGCAGACAACCAATATTCACGAGAAGATGTTCAGCACAGTACCTCACTGTACTTATGCAGCCATTGGCCAATCAGGGCCAATGCTTAGTCATTGTTACATGGTGTTAATTAGCTCTGGCAATGAGCAGCCAGAACCGGTCAGAGCCAGCTCTTTAGACACCTAGAGCTGTCAGCTCCTGTCATATAGGTGTCACAGATCTACAGCTAGACTTAACAGCAACACAGAATGTTGACATGTGCCTGGAAGTCATGGCTGACTTCTGGCGACCCCTAGTGGGGCTTGGACATTTCGGAGAGGTGGCTTATTAAATCCTGCCTCTGTGTCCCAGACCTGGTATTCCTTGGAGGTCTCCCATCAAAGTACTTGCCACGGTCAGCCTTGCTTCACTTCCGAGAGCTGATGAGATTGGGCTTGCCTGGGCTATGCAGGTCAGGGCATATTATTATTTCTTGAACTATTCCTTCAGCTACCTAGCATGTCAGCAGCCACACAAAGTGAGAACGTCTTGGGCAACTCAGGGGTTTAGGATGCAGTTAAATATGGTGATGAATATAAGGAAGTGGTCTAAATTAATTGATAATTGTGGCCCTGACAAGCCTTGTAGTTCTATAAAAACCCATGTAACTGAGCTAGCAATAACAAACTCCTAATACTAGATGCTGTTGTTATATATAATTACATAGAATACAAGGCACCATTATACTAAAGAGCATGAGCAGGCAGGGCTATTTTGGGGGCAGGAACACACAGGATTGGAGTTCCGGCTGGCTTCCAAGTTGGCCACGCCCAGCAGGAACTCATTAGCGTAATAGGCCACACCCAACAGCAGGAACTCATTAGGATTGGCTACATTAGGGGTGTGTGGCCTAACATGCAAAGGAGTTCCTGCTACAAAAAAAGCCCTGGGTTTTGACAACAAGCAAGGTAAACAGAATAAGAAGCAAAAGGTGGGTGTGGCTGGATAACCACACTTCTGGTAACATGGGGGTGTGGCCTAATATGCTAATGAGCTGTGCTGTCATGGGTGTGGCCTAATATGCTAATGAGTTCCTGCTGTTGGGTATGGCCTATTATGCTAATGAGTTCCTGCTGGGCTTTTTCTACAAAAAGAGCCCTGTCAGGTATGGTTCAAACTATACATGATGGCACCAGATCCATTTGTTTAAACCCAGAATAAAGCAGGCATAAATAATAATTGCATGCGGTTAAGTCACAACTGACTCATGGCAAGTCCAAGATGATGGGGTTTTCAAGGCAAGAGAGGAGCAGAGGCGGTTTGCCATTGCCTTCCTTTGAAGAGTTTTCCTTGGTGATCTCCCATGCAAGGACTAAACATGGTCATCCCTGCTTAGCAGCCAAGTTCTCACAAGACTGGGCTAGTCAGAGCTATTCAGGTTGCTAAAGCAGGGAAAGGGACCCAAGTTTAAGAGAAAAGATAGCATGCATGAGAAGACAGCTGAACCCCACCTCTGTTGTGACTTAAGAGCAGGGAGTGCAGTTCTGAGACTGCCATCAGCTAGAGCTCCTAGTGGCTACATCCAGAGGTCATTTCCTGCAGGAGCGCACAGGAGCGGAGCTCTGGCAGTAAAGAGCCCAGGGGCACATGCAACAAGCCCCACCCCTGCTCCCAGCAGCCCTCAGTCAGAGCAAGAAGCAGCCAGGTAAGTTGCAGAGCTCCCCCTGGCCCCCAGGTCCAAAACACCTTTAAGACCAAGTTTTATCCAGGTACAAGCTCTCCCTCCTCTGCGAGGACAGATCTGCATGTTCTCCCGCCCCCTCCAATAGCTAGAAATCCAAAACAGTCCATGTAATGTATTGAAACGATTACATGAATCACCTCATTAGACTCCTATGTTAAGCTTCGAGCCAAGCTAGGGCTCCTCTGACCGAACTTCCTATTGGTCGCTTTGTAACAGCGACCAATCAGAACAGTACTATTCCCTGGGAGGGAAAGACTCCCATTGGTCCTTAACTGAGCAATCTCATTGGTTGTTATTTGTAAATAGGCGTGGCTACATTAGCCCGGTTATGTTTAAAAGGAGCATAGCTCCCACAGTTTGTTGTTCTGGTTTCTAATGCGTTTGAGTGCTTGTTCGTTACTTCCAATAAAGCTGAATCACTTGCTGAATCACTCTACGAGTCCTTTGTTAGCGCGATCTAACAATTGGCGACGAGGATGGGATGTTAGAGCAGGTAGGCAGCCCTGCGGACATCCACACTTCGGACTCGGAAGAAAGCGAGCAGAGCACAGCAGCCGATCCGACGGAGGCGCCACCAGCTCCGGTGCCCAAGTCTCCCACGATGGCTGGAAGCCAGAAGTTCGAGTGCTTCGAACCTTCCTCAGAAGACTGGGACTCCTACCTATCCAGGTTCGAGTTCCATCTGGAGACACACGACATTACAGACGAGGCCAAGAAACGGGCGTGCCTCCTGAGTTCCTGCGGGAAGGGAACCTTCGACATAGCCAGGTCACCTGCCGGCACGCTTTTTACAAGCGGAACCAGGCCGGAGGCGAGACCATCGCAGATTTCGTGGCAGCCCTTCGCAAAGCCGCACGGCCGTGTAACTTCCACAACGTGGAGGAAGCCCTCAGAGACCGTCTCGTCTGCGGCCTTAAAGAC